CCCCCGCATGCTAGCGGTCTTGTGAATGGGCTGTTCCTGATGTCATCACGCCCATAGACTGGCTCCGAACATGAGGATGGCAGGAACAGTCCACCACTGGACATGGGGGAGTGCGGTTTTCCAGAGGATCGGAGGGCAGGGTAAGTACAGCTATCCCTGAGCCATGGACAAAACGAGCGCTTAAAGTGGAGTTCCACTCAAAAGTGGAATCTCCGCTTCTTTGTCCCCCCCCACTGTCATATTTGGCACCTTTGGGGGGGGGAGCGGATACCTGTTTTTGACAGGTACCCGCTCTCACGTCCGGCTCACTGCGCCACGGCAAAGTGAGCCGGACGTTCAGCCCCCTCCACACTATTGCAGTTTCCTGGGAACTTTCACAGGTCCCAGAAGACTGCCGGACCAATTAGGAAACGCAGCACGACTTGTACATGTGCAGTGGCCACCAGGCTGTGAAGCTGCAAGCTGTCACAGCCTGTTGCCCACAGTAGAGATGTCAGCACTGTGGAGGAGAGAAGGAGAGAAGGGAACTACATGAGTGAGAACATTACTGGACCAGGTAATAAACACAAAATACCGCTGGAACTCCACTTTAACCCATGTAGTGCAGGCACAGCCCCACTGCATGAGAAAATAACAATTTTCACAGGAGTTCTGCTTTAAAAAAGGAAGTCTCAAACAATCAATGCCAGTGTACCGATCGAAAAACGTTTCTTACATCACATTCCTGACCATTGCACTCTATACACTGGACTGTTAATTACATATCACTGACCACTATACTCTATGTGCTAAGTTGTATATGACATGTATATTGATGTATATTGGGCTGTATATGACATGCTCCTAATGACTGCAGTCTGTATGCTGGACTATATATAACATGTTCCACTGGACTCTGTACATTGAGCTGTATATGTCATATTCCTGACCACTGGACTCTGTACACTGAGCTATTTATGACATGTTCCTAACCAATGAACTCTGTACATTGGACTTTCTATGACATATTCCAGACCACTGGACTTTGTACACTGGGCTGCATATGACATGTTCCTAACCACTGGACTCTGTACACTGGGCTGTATATAACATATTCCTGACTACTGGACTCTGTACACTGGGCTGTATATGACATGTTCCTGACTACTGGATTCTGTATATTGGGCTGTATATGACATGTTCCTGACTACTGGACTATGTAAACTGGGCTGTACATACCATATTCCTGGCTACTGGACTCTGTACACTGGGCTGTATATGACATATTCCTGACTACTGGACTCTGTACACTGGGCTGTATATGATGTGTTCCTGATCACTGGACTATGTACACTGGGCTGTATACACCATATTCCTGACTACTGGACTCTGTAAACTGGGCTGTGTATACCATATTCCTGACTACTGGACTCTGTACACTGGGCTATATATAACATATTACTGACTACTGGACTCTGTACACTGGGCTGTATATAACATATTCCTGACTACTGGACTCTGTACACTGGGCTGTATATGATGTGTTCCTGATCACTGGACTATGTACACTGGGCCGTATACACCATATTCCTGACTACTGGACTCTGTAAACTGGGCTGTGTATACCATATTACTGACTACTGGACTCTGTACACTGGGCTCTATATAACATATTCCTGACTACTGGACTCTGTACACTGGGCTGTATATAAACATATTACTGACTACTGGACTCTGTACACTGGGCTGTATATGATGTGTTCCTGATCACTGGACTATGTACACTGGGCTGTATACACCATATTCCTGACTACTGGACTCTGTACACTAAGCTGTATAGGATATGCTTCTCAGCACTCCATGGGCTGTATATGACAGGTTCTGACCACAGCTCTCTGTACACTGGACTGTATATAACATGTTTCTGAACACTGCACTAACTCTGGGCAGCTGAAAATGTATTGCTTGCAATGGAGCTGTGCCTGCACTGCAAGAGTTAATTGCTCATTTAGGTCTAGGGGAACAAAAAAGAAGATTTTACTTACCTGATCCTCCATTCCTCCCCACAGCTAGACTGGTCCTCACAGCTTCTACCCCACACTTTAGCAGTCTAGGGTCCAGACATCATCAGGACAGAAGCAAGGTCCCTAGCCCTGTAGTGGATATGTTAACGCTATGAGGACAATCCACCACTGGAGCGTCAGGGAATGCCAGCTGTGGGGGTAGTGGAGGATCAGGTAGTAAAAGCCATTTTATTCAGAGACAAAAGAAGCTATTAACCCTTAAATTGCAGATAATTTAGAATTTTCCTGGAGTTGGGCTTTTAATCCTGAATTCCAGGTATGTTTTTTTTCACATAGTTAGAGCTGTCCAGACTAATGTAAGTATACATATTCCATACTTGGCCAATCCCTGTGGATATGGAGAATCCCTGTTTTTGCCTCCCTAACAACAGTGGTCCTCGCTATCTTCCAGCTCCTGGCACATGCACAATTTAGAGTGCTCTTTGCTTTTTCTCTGATTGGATGAGGTGGAGAGGTGGGACAGTGATATCATGATCTGCATATTATCCACTCTGAATACTCAAAAAGTAAAATTAATTAATGTCAATGGCAGCAGTGCTGAGCGGGTGATCCCTTGTAGTTACTAAATGGAGCAGGGAACACAGAACCCGGAAGACAGCGTGGAACACTGTAGCAGTGCCGGCTACAACAATGTTTTCAAATTCCACAGGGATTGGCCAGATATGGAATATGCATACTTACATTGGTTCAAGCTGGACCAATGAAACAATGCAAAATAAATACAAATAAAAAATACCTGGATTTCAGCTTTTAAACTGGCTATATCATTTCTGAAGTTTCGCATTGGAAGAGATCAAAACACAAAGCTTCTTTTTTTGTAACTAGTTGCAGAATCTAGTTCTACACACGCCCAAGAAAATGTCATCATTGTACATAGGGCATGTGTGTAGAACATCCAGTCCTTCTGCCCTGATGCCGGGACTCTGTCCCTGTACAAGGCAATTCAGCTCTGATTAACCGCTTCTGCACCGCCCTACAGCAGAAATACTGCTACAGGGCGGCACGAGTGCACAAAATCATGTATATATACGTGATTTTTGCATTTGCGGGTAGGGGGGCGTGTGTGAGCCATTCATGGCCACGGCTGTCAATCACTGAGTCCTGACCGGTTATTACTCGCTGGCTCCCGGTGATTTCCGAGGATCTCCAACAGGGAGGAGAACTGTTTTGTTTACTAACAGTTATATTCACTGTCAGCTCGGGCACACTGCTTTGGATGGCCATGCACAGCACAGACATCCAAAGCAGTGTGATTACAGTGAAGCTCACTGACACAGCCCCCTAGTAAAACACTCCCAGCACACAGTTAACCCTTTGATCGCCCCTCGTGTTAACCCCTTCCTGCCCAGTGCCATTAGTAGAGTGCCAATGCTTTTTTTTTTTTTTTAGTACTGATCAGTGTATTGGTGTCACTGGGGATGTCAGTGACACCAGTCAGTTCCCCCCAGTGTCAGAATGTCCGCTGCAGTCTGGCTATAAGTCGCTGATCACTGTCATTACTAGTAAAAATATAAAAATCCCAGTATATATACCGCCATTTGTGTAAACGCTATAACTTTTATGTAAACCACGTAATTTACACGTATTGGGATTTTTTTTTTTTAGCAAAGACATGTAGCAGAATACATTTTGGCATAAATTTATGATGAAATTTGATTTTTTTTAAATTTTTTTTACTGGATATGTTTAATAGCAATAGTCTTTTTTTTTTAATAGCACAAAAAATAAAAAATGTACAGGTGATCAAATACCACCTAAAGAAAGCTCAATTTTGTGGAGGAAAAAAGGACATACATTTCATTTGGGTGCAGTGTTGCATGACCGCGCAATTGTCAGTTAAAGTAATGCAGCACCCTAACGCAAAAAATGGCCTGGTCAGGAAGGGGGGTAAATCCTCAGGAGGGCAAGTGGTTAATGATAGCTGCATTGCGTACACAGAGAAGGTCCCAGCAACTGAAGCTGTCATAAAAAAGCAGTCTGGTGAAGTTTATCAACAAAATTGTTCAGCCAAGAATACAGAAACATTGTCTCATTTTGTACCTTTCTGTTTATTCATCTATGGATCAAAGGGATGAACTTTGATCTGTAAATGAAGTCAGTTAAAGTAACCTGACAAGTAAAAAAAAGTTTGTTTTTTTAAATGTTCCTCTGTTTAACCCCTTATTAACCCTTAGTTTAATTAACTAATTCTCTTTCTCCATTCAATTATAATTGCTGATTTTTTTTTTGTTCCTAATTTATTAACTAATAATATTTAAACATTTTTTTTTGTTTTTGTTTGCTTTGCATTGATTTGTGTTTAATATTTTTAAACCTTTAACATATATTTACACTTATCATATTGAAAAAAAAGCACTAAATTAAAAAAAAAAAAACACTTTACTTCATTTGTAAATAACTTTGCAATGCTTTGTACCAGAATCATAATTTTAGTGTCATTTTAAACAGGATGTATTATCAGATAAAATGTACACCTTTCATGTGTAGTAAAGCTATTTGTTTAATACAAATAGCTATTAGCTAATACTGCTCAAAAAAAGAAAAGTATGTTTTGTTATGTATAATTGTCTAAAGAGTTTAAAAAATTAAATCTTTGTTGCAATACAATATTCATGAAAAGAAAGCCTTGTTTGTATTTAAAACAGCATAAGTATTACATTGTTATCGTATGTAATGACAAAGTTATTGCCAAATAAGCAGGTCCAAAGCAGATATGTAAAAACTGCTCTGATCCATAAGGGCTGAACAGGTGTGAGAGATGAAATGGTTAAACTGAATTCATTTAACCTCCTCCCGCCTGCCATATAAGGAAATGATGGGTGGAGGAGGCTCTCTCGTTTTGGGAGGACGTCATATGATGTCCTCCCACTCTAACTGCACATGCATGCCCCTGAAAGTGGATCACCAATCACACTAAAAATCTGATGATGTTGGCTTTGTCATGTGATCATCTGTGTCCAATCACAGCTGATCGCATGTAAACAAGGAAATGCCAGTTATTGGCAGTCTTCTCCTCATGCTGACAGCGAGTGAGGAGAGCCGGTAATCAGCATTCCTCAGAGGGGACATCTACACTGATCATCAGGGCACTGATGATCCATGCCCTGATGATCAGTGTAGCCCCATCAGTGCCACCTGTCAGTGCCTATCAAGGCCACCTGTCAATACCCATCAATGCCACATACAAGTGCCCATCAGTGCACATCAAAGCCACATATCAGTGCCTACCAGTGCACATCAATGCCACATATAAGTGCCCATCAGAGCTGCCTTTCAGTGCCAGTCAGTGGTGCCTATCAGTTCCAGTCAGTGATGCCTATCAGTGCCCATCAGTGCCACCTATCAGTGCCCGTCAGTGCCACCTAACAGTTCCAATCAGTGCCACCTATTAGTACCAGTCAGTGCTGCCTATCAGTGCCACCTATCAGTGCCCATCAGTGCTGCCTATCAGTGCCCATCAGTGTGGCCTAACAGTTCCAATCAGCGCCGCCTATAAGTACCAGTAAGTGCCGCCTATCGCCGTGCCGCCTATCAGTGCCAGGGGCGGACTGTCAACTCATGGGGCCCCCGGGCAATAGGGGATCATGGGGCCCCTGTGTCCTTGCCCAAACTCAAAAAAGCCTATGAAAAAGGTACCAGGGGCATCTCATGGGGCCCCCTACTGACCCCGGGCCCTCGGGCAGTGGCCGAGTTTACAAATGGTCAGTCTGCCGCTGATCAGTGCCATATATGAGTGCTGCCTTTCAGTGCCCATCAGTGATGCCTGTCAATGACCACCAGTGGTGCCTGTCAATGCCCATCAGTGCCACCTATCAGTGCCGCCTATCAGTGCCCATCAGTGCCGCCTATCAGTGCTCGTCAGTGCCGCCTATCAGTGCTCGTCAGTGCCACCTAACAGTTCCAGTCAGTGCCGCCTATCAGTGCTGCCTGTCAGTGCCCATCAGTGTCGCCTATCAGTGCCCGTCAGTGTGGTCTAACAGTTCCAATCAGTGATGCCTATAAGTACCAGTAAGTGCCGCCTGTCAGTGCCAGTCAGTGCTGCCTATCAGTGCCATATATGAGTGCTGCCTTTCAGTGCCCACCGGTGATGCCTGTCAATGCCCACCAGTGATACCTGTCAATGCCCATCAGTGTCACCTATCAGTGCCTCCTCATCAGTGCCCATCAGTGCAGACTATCAGTGTCCATTAGCGCATCCTTTATTAGCGCACATCAGTGAAGGAGAAAAAATTACTTATTTACAAAACTTTATAACAGAAACTAAGAAAACTTTTTTTTCCAAAAAATTTTCAGTCTTTTTTAGTTTGTTTAGCAAAAAAAAAAACAACCCCAGTGTTGATTAAATACCACCAAAAGAAAGCTCTATATGTCTAAAAAAAAAAGATAAAAATGTTGTTTGGGTGCAATGTTGCATGACCACTCCATTGAATTCAAATTGTGACAGCTCTGAAAGCTGAAAATTGTCCTGGCCAGGAAGGGGGTAAAAGTGCCCGGTAAGCAAGTGGTTAAGGACTCATAATCCCTAAATCATACAGCAAACTGATCTTCAGCCCATTCAACTCACAATGGCTCTTTTGTATACTGGATATTTTGTTAAAATAACATTGGGTCACATCCTCTAACAAGACAGAGTCATGCTGAAACATGGTGTCAGATACATGGATCTTACAGCATATAGAAGAATGTCTCAAAATTGAATATTGATTGATACATTCTCTATCCAATTCCTTGCTACATTATTCTGGGAAGCATGCCAGAATTGTATAAAAAGAATTGTGTATCCAGTCTTCTAATACAAACACAGAACAGGAAAGGACAAAACTCTATTTACTCCGGTTTCTGCAATGGTGAATTTTACAAATGGAATTAATAGACAGTCAAATACTGTATATAATATATAAAGTCACAAATGTCCCAGCATATGGCACACAATGATAAAAAAGAAAGGTAATATATGATTATATGTGGTTTGGAAACCTTTTGTTGTACGTTGTAAAAATTAGAGGTAGACTGGCCAATCAATTCTGTGCTATGGGTGAATAAACAGAATCCGGCTTGTTTTCTATACAGTGTGAAGAGGTGTATTGATTTTAGTTCAGCTCTGCTTGTGTTTCTGGCTCGCTTCTAGATAAGTAACACGCAGACTATTTGTTTTCTTGAAGCATGTTTATTTTCAGATTTATTTATTTATTTTTTAATCGTTCATTGACCATAATGAAATTGATTTATTTGTCTAGACCTTTTACATTATTTTTTTAAAGTAGCAATGTTCTTAGAGGTTTTTTAATTTTTATTTTTTCACGCATGGGTTAAGTAAATACAGAAGGGACACAGTCTTTTTATATGATGGCAGGCAGTGCTAGGCAGTGCTAGGCATTACTAGACCCAAACTCTGGGGAAACAAGTCCATATCAGCATTTGGGTGCCCAGATCTGAGCTACAACAGCCATTTTGCTTGCACTCCCTTGAATCTCTCCCTTTAAGCCCCCATCCCCTCTATCCCATTGTGCCATTTTTGTGTCAGAGTTAGGTCCCTTTCACATCAGGTCCTCCTGTCAATTTTCAAGTGGTCCTGATCAGAATGTCCATGCATTCCTATGGACAGGTAGGTATAAATGGATCTGTGTCTGTTCACACCCACCTATCCAGTCCTCTAAAATAAAACTAAAAGGGATCTGTCCTCTTCCATTTAGGCAGTTCAGACTGGAGGGCAGTCAGGGGTAAACAGATAGCAAGGCCCATATACTCTTGGCCAGCCATAAAAGATCTTTGAGCTGGTCCCTTGCTGATCAGATTTGAATCTGCCCCACATGAAAGGGGTCTTAAAGTTAAATTGCAGGCAGAAATAAAAGACACAGTAAAGTGGTTCTAAAGCCTAAAGGTTTTTTTTCCCCCTTAATGCATTCTATGCGCTAAGATAAAAAAAAAATTTCTGTGTAACATGATCTAGCCCTGCCCCCTTATATTTTCCTGAGCCCATTCCCAATCCAGCAATGTGTATGAGAGCCAAGGCTCTCCCGGCACGGGCCTCACTTGGCAGATTGATAGCAGCAGCAGCCATTGACTCCTGCTGCTCCTCTTTCAGGATGGATCTGAGTGATTCTGATTGGTCATGTGACCAAATAGAATTGCTTTGTTCTATCCCTGTGCCCCCAAGGAAAGAAGGGGAATTGGACTGCAGTGTGCAATGTGTATGAGAGCCAAGGCTCTCCCGGCACGGGCCTCACTTGGCAGATTGATAGCAGCAGCAGCCATTGACTCCTGCTGCTGTCAATCAAATGCTGTGATAAGAGAGCTTGGGCAGGGCTGAGACACCCAGTCTGTGTCAACAGATGCAGACAGGGCAACACGAGAGCAAGCCTACTCAAGTGCCCCCATGGGAAGCTGCTTACTATGGGGGCACTTGATGAAGAGGGAAGCCAGGAGTGCAGACAGGGGACCCGAGAAGACAAGGATCAAGGCTGCTCTGTGCAAAACCATTGCATAATGCAGTTAAGTATGACATGTTAATTATTTTATTAGAAAAAAGGGTCCTTTAACATCACTTTAAAGCATAAGTTCACCTTTTCACGAAGAATGAAATCTGCTTACCTCTGTGGATGATAAGCTTCCACTGCCCACGCAGCCAGTGCAGAGGCCTGGGGATTTGAAGGCCGAGGTCCTCTTTCAGGATGGATCTGAGTGATTCTGATTGGTCATGTGACCAAATAGAATTGCTTTGTTCTATCCCTGTGCCCCCAAGGAAAGAAGGGGAATTGGACTGCAGCTTTCAAATCCTGCACTGGCTAAGTGGGAAGTGAAAGCTAACAGTCTTAGCTCACCTTTTCATTATTTTATGAAAGGGTGAACTTACACTTTATTGCAGCTCTACAATTGTTAAAACTGAACTCCAACCTTACTTTTGGTTTCCCACAGTTGTACAAGCTCCCCTTCTGTTCTAAAGCTGCTTACTCTGATTTCACTGCACACTGTGAGTTTCTCACAAGATGCATTAAAAGCTGCAGCAAGTCAGATAGAACCAACCTCATTTCCATGCTGGGGGATGCCAAGCACCATCTAGCCCTGTACTCCCCAGCCTTACTGTCTCCACCCTTTCATTCATTGGATTACATTTCTTGTGGCCATGGAGTCTGAACACCACTTTGGGTGTTACTGTAGGTGGTTTTCATGCATATGAAGTTTGCCTATGAACAGTAAATGCTGTAGACTAATACCCTCCCATTAAGGCATTTTGATTTTTGCTTATCTGGCCCATTGCTTACATCATGGCTGGGGTCCCTGAGAGGAGTTCCGAGGCAGGGTGAGGTGATGTTGTCATAGTACATCCAAAAAGCTGAACTGGTTAAATGGGCAGGGACTATATGTTATTCATATACAGGCAAGTCTTTTATTATCCTAGGATTGACCTTTAATTGTTACCAAGTATGTTTTTGTAGTAAACAGCTGAAATACACATATGACCTGTTTTTTTTAACTTTATTAGTAAGGGGTATCATAGTAGAATAAACAAGATGTCACATGACATACTGTATACACAATACATAATTTGGTATGTGAAGAGTATCAAGCCATTGGTACAATTGTTACCTGGGTCTAATGGTGGAAAAAGTGGAGCCAGCAGAAAAAAATAAACTCCCTTGTAGCATGTCTTGTCAGGAGAAGGAAGAAAGGAGAAATTACATAAAAAAACAAAAAGGTTGTTTGCAGTAGAAAACATCTAATAACAAGTTATCACATTTCCTGAGATGCAAACTTTTTACATGCTGAATGGTTTGTGACTCTGTTCAGCCAGTAATGTACTGTTCACAAATCTGCCACACTGTATGGCCATGCAGACAAACCAGTTATTAACTTTTGGGAGGATTTCTATGATTAAAGCAGTATTGAACCCAAAAGCAAACATATTATATTGCAGCTTACTAAATTTCCAGCTTTCTCTTGGTGGATTCCTAGGGCTGAGACAGGCCTCCCTTTGGCCAGGCACCTGCAGCAAGGCATGACGCCATAACTCTGCTGGAGCAGTACTGTTTACTTAAAGTGGAAGAAACATCTAAGCCTGGCTATTGTTAAAAATGTCTCCACCCCCTCCTCCTACCTATCCTGCCTAACCTGTATGAACAGATGTGTATACTTAACTAGTTTTAATCCGATCATCTGGGTCAAGAGATCCCGCAACTGTGGCTCATCTGTGTCAGTGAGCAGCTGCTGCAGGGGAGTGAAGGGAGCACCAACAATGGCTGGGCCATGGGAGCTTAGGGTGACGTCACTGCTCTCGGAATTCCCTTGTATTGTTGAAGACTCCCTGGGCCAGAGCTGCAGGATCATGTAACTGGAA